ACACACACACACACACACACACACACACACACACGCACACACACAATACCACCATACTCACATGCTCCAGTAAATGCTGCATGACGTGTGTGTGGTTGAACAGCGCCGCCCTGTGTAGAGGCGTCATCTTCATGGCGTCCGTGGTGAACACAGCGGCGATAAAATTGTCTCTCTGCATGCTCTCCATTAGCTTGATCATTTCCATGTTGCCTTGTGCGCACGCGAAGTGGAGGGGCGTCGAACCATCGTCCTGGGGGTAGAGTTTTTTTCTTCTAAGTTTTAGTAAGAATTTGACAGTGCTCGCAACACAAATGTTTTATGTTTAGAAACAAAATTTAAAAAAAGTTTAGTCACAGTTTTACGGCATGTGCAACACAAACAGGTCATGTAGACTCTAAGGGAGGGAGATTAGACGTGTCACTAGAGAGTGACTTACGTACAACAGAAAGAGAAATAATATGGACAACATATGTTTGATAGAAAAGGAGGAGGAAACCCTACCACGACAACAGTCAAATACCCATATGGGGATTGTAGAAATAGTGACAGTATGGAAAGTAAGAGAGATACATGTATATCGAATATTAATGATAATAAATGACATTTATATAGCGCTCAACCCCGAATAAAGTACACAGGCTCTGAGCGCTTTACAATACAGTACAACATACAATAGTAACATAAAACGTTGTGTTCTGACTAAAGAAAATTATTCCAAATGTTCATCTTATTAATTTAAAAGCAGAAACGACTTCAGCTGATATTTGAATGGCTCAAAAGATTTGATCTCTCTTAAAGTACTTGGTAAAGCATTCCAGATCTTGGGGCTTTGATTTTCAAATGCCCTTCCACCCATTGTTTTGAGTTTCATAGATGGTAAAATAAATTTATTTTTGTCAGCTGATGACCTTAAACTGCGAGATGGAATGTACAGTCTCAAAAGATTTGATAACTATGATGGTGCATTATCATTCAAACATTTGTGACATAGGGTGGCCAACTTGTACACAATCCTTTTCTCAACAGGAAGCCAATGCAAAGTTCGTAAAAGAGATTTAGCAGAGTCTCGTTTTCTTTTCCGTAAAGCTAAGCGTGCAGTATATTAATACTCATAATATTTTAACAAGTAATACTATTATGGACTCTTGCTGTGAAAGTTGGTTTGCAATGACATAGTATATTATAATGATGACAATAAGATTCAATTATCATGTAAATCAATGTACTCGTAAAAACCGAAAAAAAGAGGCGAGACCACCGTATTTAACGTCCATGTCTGATGTGTGTAAATTCTCTTTCCCAAGAATACAACGTTGGACCGAGCTGAGCTTCGAACTCAAAAACCGACGATTTTACGATTACGGGTCCGACAGCCTAACCAATAGACTTATACCGACTCCACAAACCAGTGATAGAACAACATTTTTCCTATATTGTCCACAAAGGGTTTGACTAATAGGCACATCCTTGAACTAGTGACAACCCAAGAAGTTCAGAATGTTTCAGAATACTCTCAGGTCTGCTAAGGTGATAATACAGATTGTAAAGCACATTATTATTATGGTAACTTTTAAGGACAAGCGGGCTAACCCATATTTCGGGGGTTTCCAGAAATCTTGACCTACACCAAAAATGAGCATTGCCCTACCTATAGGAGAAGTTTGGTTTCATTGGTGTGTATATTTGTTTGGTTATAGAGAAAACTCTCCTTGCCTTTTAAAGAAAGTGAACAAGGGGCAAACACTTTACCTTCGATTTTCTCAAAACTGCATTTGTCGAGATAGCCCTCATGTGCTTAAAAGCGACCATAATGTAACCTGCTGATGAGTTGGAATACAAAATTAATGCTATCTACTATATTATACATATATTGTTACAGTAAATAGAAAAAATCCCTAATCAATTGTCTGGGGACACTGGGTCCATGGTCCCTTCCTTACCTGTTGAGCCTTCACCGACGCCCCGGCCTTCAAGCACACAGTGACAGCCTGAGGGAGAGATTAAGTAGATGACTTTGTTACAGTTGTTTTTCTGTATTGGTTTAACGCCCAGCTAGAAACACGTTACGTCATAACGTAGGCTGAGCAATTGCTTCAGATCTTGACGGTCGGAGAACTTATGGGTTCAGATGGAGGAAGTGAAGGAGAAAGAAATGAAAGAATGACGAAAGCTAGATTCTATATAAGAAGAAAAATAAGAAATCAGATTACACTGGATTGCGGTTTCTGATATACAGCCAATGAGATCAGTTCTGATAGTGAAAGTGTTTCCCCACTTTGAGCATTTGCAACCTTCATTTCCACTTATGGATAGATATGCGAAGCTCGCGAGCTGCTCTTTTGGCTTCATTATTTCTACAAATGACAACTAACGATAATAATAATAATAACAACGATAACAATAACAACAACAACAATAGTAAAAATAATAATAA